ATCCTTAAAGCATCATTGGTGGAAAAATCAAGGAATTCCAATAATAATTCCATTCGATAGAGGAAAGTATTATAGTGGCCCGTTTCAAGTGATGTCACGGATCGAAGACAATGTTTATAAGATTCGAGGTCGAATCATTTTTCAAGAAGGGGAGGATGATGCGGCCCAACATAATGAAGATCCATTAAGATTACAAATTCAGCCAATCACAAGATCCGAGGCCCAAATCAGCTTTATTATTTGTGGTCATCATTTATTTTAAATTGTTTAGAATTAAAGAGAAAACACTAGTTGTATTTAGAAAGGATTCCTTAAATCCTTTTCTAAATAAAACTCTATTTACTTGTTTTCTAGATTAGGTTTAGGACCCTTTTTCCCATTGTATTTAGATTACAATGCTGCCCTATACCTATAAATAGGGCACATCCATATCAGTTTTGAAACAGGCTTTAATTCAATAAAATTCTTAAGTTTTTCTTTACACTTGTGTAAGAAACCTTATGGCTAATTGTGGACTCAATTAGTGGCTAGTCGTGGACTCGACTAGCAAATTGATTCGTTGACTCGAATCAATCTTACTTTCTTCAACCTTAGATTTAGGTTCGTGGACTCGTTCTTGAATCGAAGGAAACTAGATCCGACTCTAGTTGATTGAAGATTGCAACATCGAGGTACTTGAAGCTACATGGGATTCTTCCAAGTCTTTGAGGATTCGAGACAAAGGGTTTCTCGTGAGGTTTAAGGTATTTTGATCCATCTCTATCTTTGCATTGAGAGTAATCTTGGGACAATACTCCATCTATATTTGAACCTTGGACTAGGTTCATATCAATATATATATATATATATATATATATATATATATATATATATATATATATATATATATATATATATATATATATATATATATATAGGAAAACCATTTTGAAGCAGGAAGATATATACTTAGGAGACTCTAGCCTTAAAACCAAGAATAGACTCGACAAGTAGGGACAAGCACATTCACAGTTATAATCAAACATATAAAGACATCATCATATATCCTAAGGTCACAGGTTAATTTCATATCATTTATATCATCTTTCAGTCAATATCTTTATCACATAAGCACACTTTAGTGGCGCCACGGGACCAATCGCATGCCCCGAACATGAGGGTTAGTACATATAGTACTAATACGGCCCGCAGCACCCTACCTCATACCGTAGTATGAAGGGGTTGACCGCAACCAACCGTATAGGCCGTCGATAGTTTCAACGGCGGATCACAGCCCTACAGACAGCTGACGCGCTCAGTTGGTGGACTGTGATCCTCTTTTGGGGACTGCGACCCTACACACCGCTTGACGAGCTCAGTTGGTGGGCCGTAACCGATCAAAGCCCTACACACCGCTTGAGGGACTCATTCGGTGGGCGATGATCTTCGGGGACTACGACCCTACACACCGCTGGCACGTACACTCGGTGGATCGCAGCTGACCATAGCCCTACACACTGCCTGATCACTCATTCGGTGGACTATGGCCTTCCTCGGGCTAGTGGCCCTACACACCGCCTGGCGCGTCCAGTCGGTGGACCAAAGCACACGAGGCCCATGTGGACCGCAACCCAAGAAGTGAATCACTTATCGCAGCCAGGAGAATGAACCGCAGCTCATGAGTAACCAATTTGACCGCAGCCAACTTCTGAATCGCAGCTCAGGAATATCCAATTTGATCGCAACCAAATTGGGGTATCATGCTCACATAACACATAGTAACACATAATAACACATTGGGAAGGGGGAAAACATATAAATAAACTTATGCGTGATTATCCACATACTAAGAATAGTCCTAAGGGGTTCATACATCTTCCTCCTAGGTCAACGGGTCACCGATTCAACTAGCATGCAATAAACGAGACTCTTTTATCCTACGAACGGTACCCGAAACATCAACTAGATTCATGCACGAAAAACGGGGTCTGTTGGGACACCACGGGGATTGGGGAACATCAAACGGGGAAGCCAAATTCCCGAGGTGGGCAACAACAAGCGGGTAGCCGGTGGGTGGAGGGCCACCCGCCAGCGATAAACTTCCGGGCAGCGGGTGCCCGACGGGCAGTCGCCTGCCCGCTGCCGGCGATGTCTCTTTGGGGAGCGGGTAGGTGGCGGGTCCCCCTACCCCCACCTACCCCCCACTGACTCTTTATTAAAATAAACGTCACGGGATCCTCCGTGGAACTCGAAACCATGCTTAGACACTTTTAAACGCAAATAACGACACCACGTAGACAATTAATGGATCAAAAGCAAGAATCACATAGAACACATCCTATCATGAATTCTAAACATAAACAACACCCGAACATGCGAATTCTCCCCCAAATATATATCAAGAACATCACAATACAAATTCCCAATTCAACCTAGGGCTTTAATCCCATTCAAATCATCAAAGTCATAGTTTATCTTTAACATCAAGAAACATCAAGATTTATCAAGGATCATCACACAAACATTAAGAACCTCTTATCATAATCAAGATCATCAAGATCACACATAAAATCATCTCATCAATCATCAAGATTATATCGTAATTATCATAAAGGATTTCATCAAGACACAAGCATATAGAATGAGCCAAAGAAGGAGATTATAGCAAGGAAAATAGGTTTTGTTGAGACATGGGTTACCTCTTAGCCTTAATTAATCCTCCCTTGGCTATTAATGTTCTTTTCTAAGATTTCCATCCGCTTGATCTCCTAGGCTCAGTGGTGGGGAATCTCCCGGGAATATTTTCGTGTAATATAACTATGGGTGGTAAGGTTTCTAATTGCTTTCTAATCCCCTATTTATAGAATCAGGAATCCTAATAATAATCTGAATAATAAAGGCCTACTTTCTTTATTCCTAATAGATATATAGGTCTAAGATTTCTAATTAGAATCTGACTAGTAAAAGGTTTACCCTCTTTATTTCTAATGGGCTTAAAACTCTAGTTTAGGCAAGGGTCCACAATCCATGGTGGACCACATTAATTAATTAAAGGGAATCCTAGTCAAATTAAATCCTTTTTAATTATTATTAACAGAATTAATTAAATAATTAATTCGGGATTGAAGGCCGTAACACGGGGCGTTACACCTAGAATCCCTGTCTGAGACAATGTTCCTTGGAACTCTGTGGTATTTGACTACCTGACTGATATAAGCCATGGCTAACTGGTTCATCATCCAAGTCTCCTTCATGATAATGAATCTTGCGGTTTTGGTTAACCGGTCTACAATAACCCATATTTTGTCCTTCCCTGTCCGGGTTACGGGCAAACCTCCTACAAAATCCATGGAGATGGAGTCCCAATTCCCCTGGGGTATTTCTAGTGGCTGCACGAGTCCCTTGGGTCTACACCTTTCAGCTTTAACTCTTTGGCAGTTCAGGCACTTTCTCACAAAGCTCGCCACTTCCTCTTTCATGTTAGGCTACCAAAATTGTTTCTTCACATCCTGGTACAGTTTGACGCCCCCAGGGTGCACCGAGTACAGTGAAATGTGTCCTTCTTCTAGAATTTGTTTCTTTAGATGTGCACATGCTGTGGGCACACACCATCTTCCCTTATAGCGAAGGCTACCATCATCGAACAGCTCGAACGACCCTTTTCTTTTCCCTGCCGCGTCGAGCCCCAATTTCATTAATTCGGTGTTTTGCTGCTGGCCATTCTGGATTTCCTCAAACAGTGTGGGCACGACCCTCATGTTAAATAGTTGAATTTTGGCCTCCACTTGCCCTTGTTCCACCACCTCCATAGTTCGTCTGCCAATACCCACGTGGTGTTAAGGGAGTGGTTCGTCTTCCTGCTGAGCGCATCGGCCACCACATTGGCTTTTCCCTCGTGGTATTGTATATCTAAGTCATAGTCCTTTATGAGCTCCAACCACCGTCGCTGTCGCATGTTTAAGTCCTTTTGGGTGAAGATGTACTTCAAACTTTTGTGATTCGTGTACACCTTGCATTGCACTCCGAACAAATAGTGCCTCTAGATTTTTAGGGCAAATACTACTGCTGCATATTCTAAGTTGTGCGTGGGGTAGTTTTCCTCATGGGTTTTGAGTTGTCTAGATGCATATGCGATTACTTTACCATTTTGCATTAATACGCAACCCAGTCCTTTCTTTGAGGCATCACTGTAAACTTCAAACCCTTCCTGTCCCGATGGTAGCGCTAATACTGGGGCTGTGGTCAATCTCTCTTTCAGTCCTTGGAAGGCCAGGTCACAACTCGCGTCCCATTGAAAGGGGATTTCCTTTTTTCACGAGTTTCATCATGGGTTGGGCTATTTTTGTGAAATCACGCACGAACCTTCGATAATACCCAGCCAACCCGAGAAAATTCTAACTTCCGAAACTGACGTTGGGGAAGACCATTCCCTGACTGCTTGGATTTTTGTTGGGTCTACCATGATTCCCTCCTTGGTTATCACGTGGCCCAGGAATGCCACACTGTCCTTCCAGAATTCACACTTGGAGAGCTTGGCGTACAACTGATTTTCTCTTATAGCCAGTTTGGTTCGCTGGAAAATATTTGAAGGGAAATGGAATTCAAATTCCATGGAAAACAAATTACCAGGAAAATAGATTCCGTTGTTTGGTTAGTGGAAAAGAAATTACTGAAAATATGAATTTCATTGTTTGGTTGGATTTGGAATGGTAAGGAATTATGAATATAAAGACCAATATGCCCTTCACAATAATTTATACATGTGTAGTTAATAAATTTTGATGAGGGCAAAATAGTCTAATATTACTATATTTTCTTCCCAACTCATTTGGAAAACAAAATACCAATGTTTAGGTAGGATTTTCTTTTCCTTCACTTTTGGGAAGTCAAATTCCCATGGAAAAGATTTTCCATCCAACCAAACAAGGTAAAACAACATTTTCCTACATTTCATGGAAAATATTTTCTATGGAATTTGATTTCCATCCAACCAAACACCCCCTTAATGTCTGTAATACGGTTCAGAGATGTTTTTCATGTTCTTCCTTACTTTGAGAGTAGACTAAGATGTCATCGATGAACACAATCACAAAGTCATCCAAGTAAGGGCGAAACACTCGATTCATGAGATCCATGAATACTACGGGGGCATTAGTCAATCCGAAGGGCATTACTGTGTACTCGTAGTAGCCGTAGCGAGTTCGTAAGGCTGTTTTTGAGATGTCCTGGTCGGCTACCTTTATTTGATGATATCCGGACCTCAGGTCGATTTTCGAAAACACACCCGCTCCTTTGAGTTGGTCAAACAGATCATCTATTCGAGGGAGTGGATATTTGTTCTTCACCGTAACTTGATTTAATTCCCTATAGTCAATGCACAACCGCATGCTCCCATCTTTCTTCTTAACAAATAGCACTGGGGCTCCCCATGGTGAGGTGCTAGGATGGATGTAGCCTTTATCTAACAAGTCTTGTAATTGTGTCTTCAATTCTTGCATCTCTTTAGGTGCCATTGTAACACCCCGTGGTACGATCTCCAAATCTGGAATTAATTATATAATTAAATCCACCAAGAACAGTTAATAGGGAATTAACTCCCATTAATTGATTAATATGGCCCACAGAGGACCATGTACCCTTGCCTATAATAAAGACCCTAAAAGTGTAAATATACTACTAGGGATAATTAGTATATAAACTATGATATTAAATACCCAAATCCTGAGCCCAAATATATACATAGGATATATACTTATGTCATATATACCCAATAAGTATTAAGTCGCAAATTATGCCCTGGAAACGTGTTCACCGTGAATGGTGAACACAAGTCCAAACGACGTCGTTTTTACGCAAAAAAAAATAAAAATCGAGGATGTGGAGTTAACGGCGCGCGTTTGATCAAATTATGAATTTTCTGTTATGAGATTATGAATGTAATGAAAATTCATAATCTCATAACAGAAAATTCATAATCGCATAAAAGTAAAATATTTATTAAATTATGAATTTTCTGTTATGAGATTATGAATGTAATGTAGATTCATAATCTCATAACAGAAAATTCATAATTTCATAACAGAAAATTCATAATCTCATAACAGAAAATTCATAATCTCATAACAGAAAATTCATAATCTCATAACAGAAAATTCATAATCTCATAACTGAAAATTCATAATCTCATAATTGAAAATTCATAATCTTATAACAGAAAATTCATAATCTCATGGTTCCAAAGTGAATGTGTAGGCATGGTTCCAAAGTGAATGTGCAGGCATGGATTCATAATTTATGAATGTCCGTGATTTCGGACGGGAATGTGTAGGCATGGTTCCAAAGTGAATGTGTAGGCATGAATTCATAATTTATGAATGTCCGAAATCATTGCTCACCTCAAATTAAAGTGAAACCGCGAAATGTGAAAATGAAGAAGAAAAGTCACGCAATTAATTAAGAAAAAGAAAAAAAAAGAAAAAAAAGAAGATAACGGTGTACTAACACCGTTGGAACCGTGTTCACCATGAATGGTGAACACAGTTCCATGGCATAACGATTGGTATTAAGTAGCCCAAGCCCAAATGTATTTAATCTTGACCCACCTAACCCAAGTCCTTTTAGGAAACCTAATAATAATAATAATAATAATAATAATAATAATAATAATAATAATAATAATAATAATAATAATAATAATAGTATTATTATTATATGGGTTAGGATACGTATATATGTCTGCGTATATATATATATATATATATATATATATATATATATATATATATATATATATATATATATATATATATATATATAGTACATACATACGCCCGAAGAAGAAGGAACCAAACACCCCCTCTTCTCCCCTATTTCCAAGACGGTACCACACAAGCCATACAAATACGTATACACCTAATTCTATATGAACAAGGCGTACGTATACATAAACATATATATATATATATATATATATATATATATATATATATATATATATATATATATATATATATATATACACACACACGTACGTAAACCCCCTTCCATATCTCTCTCTCTCAACCCCAACAACTCACTAACTTCTCCATTAACCCCTTCCTTCGCTCCATCAAGAAATCGACGGAACTCGGACGGCGAAGCAGCAGTGCGACGTGAGGCGTTCGGCAACGGAGTCACGCAACAATGACGACGGCGACCCCTCCCTCCAAACGAACGTACGAACAGGTGGTGGCGGGTTGGCGACAGGTGATGAGATTTCCGGGAGCCACCCGCTGCTCCTCGGCAAAACAGAGCGAAGAAGAAGATGAAAGTAAGTTGTCATTATAGTCATCCTTGACTACTTAGGGATAAAGAGAATTAATGATAGTAAGATCACCAAGGGGCGCTCAGCTTAGCTGGTTAAACTTGTGATGGGCTTTAGGGAGTGCTAAGGTTCAAATATCACGTTAAGCATGTCTATATTACAAATTGATAGTCTTTTGGGTTATTGCTAGTTGATTAAGCTGATATTAGAGAATTATTAATGCAAATGATCACCAAAGGGAATATTAGCTTAGTTGGGTAGGACACAATTAGTGTTGGGAGAGAACCTAGGGTTTGAATCCTTTAGGGTTTATTTATCTTATTAGCTCGATTATTTAGTGAAAGTCCGATTTGATTCACAGGTTCCATTGACGGTGTTTTGGCTTGATAAGCGAATTAGGTAACCCATGTCTCAACAAAACCTATTTTCTTCGCTATAATTTCCTTCTTTGGCCTCCCTCTATATTCTTGTGTCTCGATAAATTCTTCTACGTTAATTGTGATATGTTCTTGTTGATTGATAAGATGATTTATGTGCATTCTTTATAATCTTGATGTTCTTGATGTTGAGAAGAAGTTCTTGATATTGATATGATGATTCTTGACGAATCTTGATATTTCTTGATGTTAAAGATAAAATATGATCTTGGTGATTTGGGTGGGATTAGAGCCCTAGGTTGTATTGGGAATTTGTGTTGGGATGTTCTTGATATATATTTGGGTGGGAATTCGCATGTTCGGGTGTTGTTTATATTTAGAAGTCGTAATAGGATAAGTCCTACGTGATTCTTGCTTTCGATCCGTTAATTGCCTACGTGGTGTCGTTATTCGTGTTTAAAAGTGTCTAAGCATGGTTTCAGGTTCCACAAAGGTTCCCGGGACGAATATATGAGAAAAGAGTCAGTCAGGGGAACCCGCCACCTACCCGCTGCCCGAAGGACACCGCCCGGCAGCGGGCAGCCACCGGGCAGCCGCCTGCCCGCCGTCAACCCGCTGCCCGGAACAGTGCCCTCTGGCGGGCAGCCGGCGGGTGACCCCCACCCACCGGCTACCCGCTGGTCCGTACCCCACCCCGGGTCTTTGGCTTCCTCGTTTGATGTTCCCCGCTCCCCCATGGTGTCCCAACGGACCCCGTTTGTCGTGCTTGAGTCTAGTTTGATATTTCGGGTATCATTCGTAGGTTAAATGAGTCTTAGGAATTGCATGCTAGTGGAATTGGTAACCCGTTGGCCTAGGTGGAAGTTGTATGAACCCTTAGGACTATTCCTAGTATGTGAATGACCACGTAAGTTTATTTATATGCCTTTCTCCTCCCAATATGCTATTATGTGCTCCTATGTGTTATGTGTTGCATGATCCCCCATTTTGGATATAGACCAATTGGGTGATTCCCGGACTGAGGTTCGGAAGTCGGCTGAAGGTCGAATGGATTGTTCCCGGACTAATGGTTCGGAAGTGGCTGAAGGCCAAATGGATTGTTCCTGAGCTAAGGCTTAGAAGTTGGCTAAAGGCCGAATTGATTCACTTCTTGGGCTGCGGTCTACATGGGCCTCGGTGCTATGACCCACCGACCTGGACGCGCCAAGCGGTGTGTAGGGCCAATAAGCCGAGGAAGGCTGTAGCCCACCGACTTGAGTAATCAGGCGGTGTGTAGGGCTACGGCTGGCTGCGATCCACCGAGTGATGGGACAGCGGTGTGTAGGGCCGTAGTCTCCGAGGATCTTTGCCCACCGACTAAGTCTAGCTCAGCGGTGTGTCGGGCTTGATCCGCTACGATCCACCGACTGTACGCATCAACGGTGTGTAGGGTCGTATGTCCCCCCTTGTAAAGGGGATCACGGTCCACCAATTGTGCGCGTCAGCGGTGTGTCGGATTGTGGTCCGACGTTTAGTTCGTCAGCGGTCCTCTATGGGTTGGTTGCGATCAACTCCCTTCATGCCGCGGTATGAGGTAGGGTGCTGCGGGGCCGTGTTAATGCTATACGCATTAACCCTCATGTTCGGGGCATGCGATTGGTCCCGTGGCGCCAGCTCAGCGTGATTGAGTGTCACAAATGATGATTGAATGATGACATGATTGATGTGGAAATAGACTGTGACCTTAGTTGCGTATTCTTTATGATGATTCTCCTCAACTATTATTATTGGGTGTGTGCTTACCCTATTTGCTGAGTCCGTTCCTGGTTTTAAAACTAGTGTCTCTTAAGTATATATGTTCCTGCTTCAAAATGATTTTCGTATATCTATATATATCTATCTATATTGTATTTCAACGCGTTGGAGTGGGTACCAGCATCTCTCGCTGAACAGATATATTAGCTTTCAGGCACATATGAGTAGGCACCGGAGCGCGCTAGAGATCTGAAGCGTAGAATAGCTAGTTTCCCTTCTCGGCCTGCGTGCCATATTTATGTACTGACATTACTTTGAGGATTTTAGTTAGTTTGCCTGTGCACCTGAGTTCTCTAGCTCAGGTGTGGCATAGCACCCCATACTCTTCTGCTTACTCTTGGGATTTAATGAGAATTTACCTTGATTATATAAGTTTTAAAAGTTTCAAAATTTCGGGGTGTTACAGCCATTCTGTAAGGTGTTTTTGATATGGGGGCGGTGCCTGGCACTAGGTCCACGGTGAATTCCACTTCCCTATGTAGTGGTATTCCAGGAATCTCTTCGGGGAAAACATCCGTGAAGTCGCTTACTACCGGGATTGGCTGCGGTTCGTCACCCTTGGCATTTAAATCCTCGATGGTGCACAGGAAGACCTCACATCCTTTAGTTAAGTATTTATTCATTTTCATCATGGTTACCAATTTAACTTCTGGATCTTTGGCGGAGCCGCAGTAAGATACCCTCTTCCCATTTGGCCCTTTCAAAATTATCTTTTGTTCGTTGCACAGGATTTGGGCTTTGAATTTCCCTAGCCAATCCATCCCTAGGATTCTTTATATACCGTCTTGCCCAAACTGAATCAGGTTGCTAGGAAATTCCACTCTGCCTATGGTGATCATCACGTCCTTGAACATATGGTCGCATTTCAATACTTCACCTGATGCCACTTTGACCCTTAACTGTACACCTGTGCATGTCGTCAAACCGAGCCTTGCTGCGAATTCGACTACTATGAACGAATTGGTGGCTCCTGAGTCGAATAGCACTATGGCGGGTATGGAGCACCAGGAACGTCCCGGTCACCATGTCACTGTCTCCG